AATCATTTGCTTCCTTTTTCTTTTCAACCAACGTTGAGACATGCTGGCCCCCGGCTTTCGGGGCCTGGACGTTGCGGCCTTCATGCCTTAGCTTTGATGCATAAATCTTCACTAATGCACTTTTTGGCAATTGTCTCTTGATGCCTCTCCAAGTACCCTCTTCAGTCTGTGCTGGCAAGATGTGATCTGGCGCCCTACCAACTATGGGTGGAGCAGCCTGATGCGATCTAGCGATTGCACCCGTTCACGACGAGCTGAAGAGAGTGTCGTTCGAGGCTGTCCTGTCTTGCGACCCCTCTTTGAGGGACTCGAGCCCGGGCCGATCAGCGGCCTTGAAGGACTCTGGCGCAATGTGTGGCTTGTTGGTGCCGCTTGGCGCTGATGTGGACAGGTCGGTGGACGAGAACGGGTTGGGGCGCCAGACAGACTGGGAGAAGAAGACATTGTTGCGGTACAGAAGAAAGGTATTTGCAAAAATACGTATTCAAGGGGGGTAGGTCTCTAGGCCATTAGCAAATGTGGAATAAGGCTTTTAGCCAGCCCATGTTATATTCGGTGGCAAAGGAATGATAGTAAAATGTCATCACGATAAAATGAATAAGTATTACGATCTCACTGAATGTTGTTTAGGCTTTATTTGCAAAATTTACTATTATTCTGACTCAAATTGACTCGAAGGAGGGTTTCGTCTCGCCTCGACTGGTCTCATCAGTGCCAACACCGAAATTGGAACCCGATCTGTGGTTGTACAAAATGTAATTTCGAAAAGTTACAATTCGGCCAAACGGCAATGTGTAGTTGTGGATCGGAAAGAGATTGCCGGTGAAGTAAACTTGCATTTTGTTATTACAATTGATTGTACTACTTATATTCACTGAGAGTAGGTTCCGAGACTATCAGTTTATCGGGAGTAAATGTAAGGCTTACTCAGCCAACTTTATTAAAATACAAATATCCGTCATTTATCATCTTATCTACTCAAAGTTGACAAGAAGTCTGATACAAGATTAACTTAAAGGTGATTTAAGGAATGATAGTTAAGTTTTTCCCACAATAGGTTGAGCAGACCTCACGATACCAATGCATTTCACCTGGACTTGTTTCCCACAAACTTATTTCATTCAGTGCGGACTGCAAGTCTGACTTCACCTCAACTGGCCTCTTCAAAACCCTCCACGGGATTCGAGCTCGGATCGTGAGTATCGTGGCGACGTTTATCACTCGACCAAACGGACAAATGTGCCAGTGTAGATGCGACATTCAAGGCAAACAGGTCTCTTTCAACTGGCATTTTGCTCTGGGGTTGTTGACTAAGCAATTATTTGTTTGCCATTGCAATTGACAACGCTACTTATTTTTGATATAAGTAGATTCAGAATATGTCAGTTACTTTTGACTACTGAAATGGTCAAATCAAGTCGCTTTAGCACTGAAGATGTTTTTTCACATGCATGTTGCCACTTGACATGCTGAGCTTTTGTCCATCATGTGACGAACATCATCAGAGCATCGAGGGTATCATTGTACTAACAAAATTCAAGCTGACAAGTCAAGAAAACTCACCGGAAAATCCCTAAAAAGCGGTATATATACTCTACATCTGGCTTAGTTTATCAGATGTAGAGTATATATACTACTTTTTAGTGATTTTCCAGTGAGTTTTCTTGACTCGTTAGCTTGAATTTTGTTGTAACGATGTTACCGCGCTCTGATAATGTCCGTCACATGACGGACAAAAGCTTAGCACTTTTTCACCGGAATCGAAGATATTGTCTCGGAAACAGCGTCAGCAATCATGTTCCAATAAAGCCAATCGACAGCTGGTCGAAAGGAATCGGTCGTCGTCTTCAGGTGGAGCCGATCTTCGAATCTCTTCACGCAACACGACCACTCGAAATTGTAGTAAGCTCAACATTTATGAAACAAGAGATTCTTGGAAACACAACTTTTCTTCGTATAGAAAGTGAGTCTAAGTGGAATCGTATTGTGGGAAAAAACGAAATGTTAGTTTTTGAATGACCAAGAGCGATTAAAGTCTTATTTAGGAATTAACAATTGCATTTAACTATAATACTACTGAAAGTAAGGTCGTAATTAAGAATTATTAATAGTCTCGAAAGCGGATCAAGAGCCTCTGATAGACGAATCCCTTCCTCAAAGCCATTCGAACATGGTCTCCAGTCCAAATCCCTTTGCGATGGGCGACTGTAACGCGCGAGAGATGAGTTTGAAAGATACCAACTTTCTGTACATTCGATGTGGAGGAGCAGGCCGAAGTTGGTTGGTTGGCCTTCGTCGCTTGTTGCCTTGACGACGGGATGTGCATCGTGACCTCGTGTCGAGTGCCAAAAGGCCGATCTGCGAGCTGAAGATCGTCGTTGCTGCCAGCTTGGCAAGGCAATGCAGAGAGCAGCAGACAACTTCTTTTCGTCTATGAGCAGAATTCAGAGTCGACCAGTGGAAGTGTGTGCGGTTGTGTGATGAAGAGATTCGAATGTGGAGCCCATCAGCAGGTACATTTATGCGAGTTGTTGATTGACTTGCCTCAAATGCTGTCCCCGAGACAATCTCCTCCGATTCCGCTTCGGTCATTTTATGACTTGCCTCACTTGAGCAGTCCATCTTTCCTAGAACCGTATTGAGGCGAACGAGGCAAGAAAATTCTTCGGCTCATCGCTAAATTCTGCATACATGCCCCATATCTATGTTTTTTGGAGGAAGTATAAAGTAAGTTGATTAGTTCATGTGTTTAAATCAAGCCACCTAAGACTAAGAAGACATACAAACTTCTTGATTAATGGTATAACTTGAGCCAAGCAAATCACATAATACCCCAGCATACCGGGATAAGCTGTGATTCTTTCTGACTCATAAGCTTGAATATGACGAATAATAATTGGGTTTCAATTAATCTCCTGAGATAACAGTGTGGGAAATTTCGGGTCAATGAAGAGTTGGAATATGAAACAGATTGCTGTTGCCATCACAGGTGTCTTCAGCATTATGGCTGTTGGTCGGTTCTGCTGTTCGGTAGATCAATTTTCTATTGTTCATCTGTTCCTCTGTTCACTCCTTCTGTTGACAATGCAGACGATGCTACTTATCTTCGAGATGAGTAGGCATCGAGAGTATCACCCATTTTCAAATAATGCCAGGCTTTTCGAGACTACCAGTCGATCAGATATAAGATTTGTATTCAGCTTATCAGGTGAGTGGGCCTCA